TTGCAAAACTTTAAAACATTATGTAAGTGCTAGCTACTACTAGCTGCTACTACTAATTCTTATTATTATAATTTACCCCCTATAAATTTCATTTGACTAAGTTTTAACTTAAAACTCTAGCTGTCAGGATCTTTTTTGGACCCTAACTCTTGTCATCTAAAGTATTAGCTATCCTGCCTAGTTTTGTATCATCTGCAAATTTGATAAACATATCAACTATGCAAGTTGCTGATAAAATGTCAAACAGTACGAATCCCTGTGGCACCCCACTAGGGACATCCAGACACATTGACATTGAATCATTAATCACTGACTATTCTTTGGGTCCAACAATTGGGTCAATAAGTTCCAAATTCACCTCTGGCTTCCCTGAAGGTGGCTGACTATTTCTTCCCTCAGGCCTCTAATAGTATCTCTGAGGGGCAGGGTTTCTGATATTATTACTCACAAACTCCCATCTGTTAAGTTCCCCAATCTTGTTTAATCAGTTAACATTTCCCCAAGGCAAATTAACCAGTTGACATTAAGCATCTTTTACAAAAGGATATTTACTGAGAAGGTATAGCAAGGATACAGCATCATCCCCCCAAATTGAGGTCACACTCTTTCCTCTGCACACCCACTCATTCCCTAGGGAGAATGGACTCAAACTTAAAGTGATTGCTACAAAACATTCTCCCCCTCCCCTCGTGCTGGGAATCCTTTTCTCTCTTCCGGTAATCCCCACCAAGTTCACTTTAGTATGTTTTTGGTGTGATCTCAGATGACTTTGATGGATCTACGACCCTCATAGGTCACCAAGGCACTGCCATCTTAGGATATTCATTGACCTAAGATCAAGGAGGTGCCACAACGAATAGAGTCCAGGGACTGGATTAGGAAGACTCATCTTCCTGAGTTCAAATCTGGCCTCAGGCACTTACTAACTATGTGACCCTGGGCAAATCACTTAACCCTATGTTCCTCAATTTCCTCATTTTTAAAATGAACTGGAGAAGGAAATTGCAAACCATTACAGTATTTTTGTCAAGGAAACCCTACAAGGGGTCATGAAGAGGTGGACACGACTGAAACAACCTAACGACAACAGAGATCAGGAAAGAAGAAACACACCAGGAACGAAGATATCATATGTTCACAGACACATGGTAGCCAGATAGAAAGACAAGGCCATCAAAGCTGCTGCCCTTTTCTCCACAAAGAAGTTCATAGCAGTCCTTCTTCTCTGAAAGCTGTTAGGGAAAAGAGAGATAGTCTGCTTGATACTTTTGTATGTGCACCAAGTTCTGGCTTAGTAGCCAGTTAAAAGGGTTCTTAGTATTGGGAAGTAAGCTGAGGAGTAGCAGTCAGAGGCTATCTGAGTGTGTTCTGAAATGGAGGAAAGGGGCTCTAGCATGCCCAGAGGCACATTCACTAAACCTCCATGTGGGTTGGAACCAAGCAAGGCATATTGTGAATACTCTAAGGATGAGGCCATCTCCCAATGCAGAGAAATGGAGACAGAATTACAGACTTAGAGCCATGACCTAAAGAGGTCTTCCAGTCCAATTTCCTCTTTCTATCAGTGGAGAAACTGAGGTTCAGAGTGACTTGCCCAAGGTCACACAAATAGTCAGTTACAGAATCAGGATTCAAGATGGTGCTGTGAATAGAGCATTGGATTTGGAGATAGGAAGACCTGGGTTTAAAGCTGGCCTCAGATACTTACAAATTATGTGATTCTAGGCAAATTGCTGAGCTCTGTTTGCCTCAGTTTCTTCATCTGTAAAATGAAGATAATAATAGCACCTATACTTAAAGTTGTGAGGAGAAAATGAGACAGTATTTGTAAAGTACTTTGCAAAATTTAAAGCTCGATATAAATGCTAGTTATTACTAATTATCATTAATAATAATATTTATCCTCTGACTGCAAATCTAGTATTCTCTCTATACCATGCCACCTCCCAATTTCCCTATTCTAGTGCTCAATCTGTAGATTGAGAAGGTTGTTCTAAATGCCTTTTAAGATTTCTTCCAGAGCTGTGACATTCCAGGTACTAATGTCACTTCCAGCTATAACTTTCTATGTTCTATTTCTAAAAAGATTATCTCATCCTTTCTAGTTCCCAAGAGTCCTGTTAGATACCTTTAAAACTGAGATATAAATAAACTTAACAATAGACAGTAGGGACCAAAATGATGACTTGATGACTATCTCAGTTTAGCAGAAAAGAGTCGATGCTTTGCTTTGATGCTGTCCTCATTCCCCCAGCTGCTGTTAATAAGACATCATCCTGCAATCTGTTAAGATGCAGCTGGGGGACTTCGACTTTTTATAACAAAGAAACTAAAAACAGGTGCTTTTTTTAATCCTTAATGATAAAATGACCTCAGCAGATCTCTGATCTCTTTCAGAAAGTTTCTGGGGAAAAAAACCCAAAACTTTCTTTCTGATTGATTTTTAGTTCAAAAGTTTGAAGGGTGTTCAGCCTGGCAAGGGAGTTCACACCAAAGCCAATAGGAGTTGGAACATGGCAGTAAGGTCAGAAATTAGGTGTCTATGATCTGAATTCTGGGCAATGAACAAGTCTGAGAAATCTGAATAAGCTGGTGCTATAGCTCCCTTGGCCTAACAAGGCTCACAGTATCCATTAGATATGATGAAAGAACCTGAGCTCTGGATTAATTTGCTGCTGGTAGAGATTCCTGGAGTTCCTACATGTCTAAAAAAATCCCAGATCCCATCTCTGTAACAAATCTCAGCCACAGGGAACCCTAGACTATTTATTTCTCAGGATGTACTTCAAACATAGGGCCAATCTCCTCATTATTTTCCCCTCACAAGTATTTTCTTTGTTAATTTTATTCAGCCTACACTTGGGTAGCATATACACTAAACTAGAATAAAATCAAGCCAAGTAAGGCTTTATTTTTTCCCTCCAAGGTCAAAAGCTTTATTAGGATCAAAGGATTTAGAGTTGGAAGAGGTCTTAGTAATCTTTTTTTCCCTTTTAGATGCATTAATTTATTTATTTTTAGTTTTTAGCATTCACTTCCACAAGATTTTGAGTTCCAAATTTTCTCCCTCTTTGTCCCTCCCCCCACCCCCAGATGGCATGCATCCTGAATATCCCTTCCCTTAATCTGCCCTCCCTTCTATACCCCCTTTTCTTATCCCCTTCCCCTTCTATTTTCCTGTAGGGCAGGATAGATTTCTATACCCCATTGCCTGTATATCTTATTTCCCAGTTCAAGAAAGGCTTTATTAAGCACTGGACACTATGCTAGAGATATAAGGACAAAAAAATAAGACAAATTCTATCCTTATGGAATTTGCCTTCCATTACGGAGCTATTCAAGGGAGATTGGCATGGTATCTATGCAAGATGGACACCCCCATTTGAGAAGCATTCTTTGTAAAGAGAGGCAGAGAGGAGTAATGGTTGATGAGTGGAGCTAGCTTTGGAGTCAGCAAGACGTGGGTTTAATCCTTTCCTCTAAGGTAGCCTAGTCATTTGACCAGAAACAAACACTTGATACCCCAGTCAACTCTGGAAAGCTATATGGATGGATACTTTTGTTGTGCAGAAGCAGAGGGTGTTCCCTCACATGAGAGTTGCCCATACTGGTGAGATCACAGATTCCTAACCCCAAAAAAGGAATAGAAAAAAATGTTATTCAAGAGAAACTTCATATTGTAATGACGATTCATTTGTATATCAGAAATCTCATAAGCATTCCATAGCAAATATAGACACAGCCAATGGGAGAAACAGTATATTGTAGTAGGAATCAATCAGAAAACATAGCAGGGGTTCTTAACTTTTTTAGTGTGATGGAAGGCTTAGGGGAAAAGGGAATTAAGTATTTATGTAGTTCCTACTATGTGCAGGTACTGTGCTAAGTATTTTTATAAATATTTCCTCATTTAATTCTCAAAGAGCCCTGAGGGTAAATGCTGTTATTGTCTCCATTTTACAGTTGAGGAAAATGAGGCAAACAGAGGTTAAATGACTTGCCCAGAGTCACATAGCTAGTAAGTGTCTGAGGCTGGGAGTAGAATTCAGGTCTTCCTGACTCCAAGTCTAGTACTATATTTACTGCACCACCACCATCACAGACCCCTTTGGCAGGTGAAGTCTAATATTGTGGTTTCTTGCCTATGTTCATAATGGAAGGAAATGCTATTTCAGCTAGAGAGTAGTGAAAATAAAGATGAAATTTTTCATGGACTCTTTGAAATCTACTCATAGGCTTGGGCTTCTGTGACCTCTAAGTTAAGAACCTCTCTGTGGAAGGATATGTTCAAACCATACAGGTGAAAGTGAGCAGGATGCCCCTCTGTCAGTCACTTTGTAGCCTAGATTCTCTGTCTCCCCTCCCCACCCTCCACCTCTTAACATGGATATGGAAGAGAAACACAAGACAAGTGGAAAGAGAGGTGATTTCATCCTTCCAGATGGGCCAGCCTCACCATACCAAGGATGCTTTCCTCTAATCCGTCACTACTTCCCCTCTCCCTACTAAGTTTTGTAACACTAAAATTGTGCAGGGAAATGAGAGATTTGGATGGCATTCAATCCCCCATTCACTGGGTTCTCATTTCTAAACTAGAGCTCTGGCAAGAAAAGGTGGACCTCTCCCTCCTATACATCATTTGGCAACTTACTATCAAGTGTGGTTGTGAAATGAATAATAATAACTCACATTGGAAGAATCATAGAATTTTAGAGTTGGAAAGAAGTCATCTGGTCTAATCTCTACAACACAGCTTCCTGTCCCCCAATTTATTGATAAGGACATTGAGGTAACACATTAGAAAGATTTTTTTGTGTGAATATGTTACATGTATGTACGTGTACATGCCACAAAACACCTACATTTTTGAAAAATCAATACTCCCCAAATACCCATCTGTACCATTATCATAACAACCCTCTCAAACCCAGCCCACAGCCCTTGTCACTGGGGGAATGGCAGAGTAATATCATGCTAAATGGTCTACAGTGGGGGTTCTGCATGCCTGAGGCCACTCCAACAGCTGTGAAGGCCTGGCAGGAATCTTGAAATGTTGGCTGATTGAGTCTGATGATGCTGTTGATTCATAGCTTATAGCACCCCATGCCAAAATCTATAAACACAAGAAAGTAATATGTTGAATAAAGAGCAAAAATTATGTCAGAAAGTCATAGGGAGTATAAATAGCAACTAATTATCATTCCAGTAATTATTGAACAGTCTGCCTAAATACATACATGCTGCTTCGTTGATCATCACAAAACCTTTGACTCAGTTCCACACCCATGGCTTATTCATGTATTGCAAACAAAGAATATAGACCCAAGTCTAGTGAAAACACTAACAGGTTCCCCACCCCTATACTAGAGTATTTAATATTCACATGGTGAACCACCCTCCTTAAAGCATGAAACCAACATAATAATGCTGAGATAAATTCATATTGAATATAGCATTTTCAAGGAGACATTATAAGCCCATTATGTTTCTGCCTGACCTAAAATCCGTTATCATCTCTTCTAAATAAATGTCTAAAAAATATCTTATCAATCACTTGATTTTCATGGATAGCATCAAACCATGTGGCTCCACTCAAAAACACATTCAACAACTTCCTTAATTTATGGAATCTTGATCCAGCAACATTGAATTGCCATTTGTACTCTCAAATATTCAAATGAATCTGATTTCTTTCATGTGGAAATTCCCTATACAGCTGCACATGGCAATTCATCCATGACTTCCCATCCTGTGTGACTCTTGTCTACATCTTTTCCAAGTCCACTATAAGGGATTCACCCAGTATACTGGATACTTTCTTTTTCTTTCTCCTAACACTGTGACAGTTCCAGTGGAGGACTCTGACTATCTACCTGTCTTCCTTTGCTGTCACCATGTGACCAACCTATCTATTCTTTCTGTCACACCATTCTTTGATCTCTTTTATTCCTGTTATTTTTTGGATTTCCTTGTTGGTTATGTGTTGCAGCCTGCTCACACCCACCATGTGCCTCTCCATTGCCCTCTGTGGGATACCAATTTTTAATTCTTCAAAGGTGGTGAAGTTCCATGTCTTGCTGCCATAAAACAACATCTGCAAAATATCAGTGTTAAAAAGATGAACCTTTGTTTTCATGGGAAGTTTAGGGTCAATAAAAGGGCTTTGCAATTTCCTGAAAGTAATCCAGCCCACTCCTTTTAAACTCTGGGTCCAGTTAATTGTCCTTCTGTACAGTATGTCCCAAATATACATGTTGTTGGACAAATTCTATAGGGCATTCATCCAAATGCATGGTGAAATCTAGGCACAAGATTCTTCTGACTCTAAATGTAAGATCCTTGTCTAATGGCCAATGAGTAGACATTGCTACAGGAGCTGAATCATATCAAAAATGCCACCATGAAAATAATTCCATTTTATGTACCAGCATACTGAGGATAAAGGATAAAGTGGGAGAAAAATTCTATAAATTCTGTAAAACTCAATAAGGCCCTTCATATCAAATCAACATATGCTCTGATACTTGGTGAATTCAATGCAAAGGTGGGAAAAGGTGAGGGTAGAAGAAAGTACATCAACTAATATTTATAAAGCACTTTAAGGTTTACAAAGCACTTCACAAATATCATTTCCAATTTACCCTTATGACACCCCTGGGAGGTAAGTGCTATCATCATCCTTATTTGACAGATGAGGAAATGGTGGCAAACAGAAGTTAAATGATTTGCCCAGGGTCACAGAATTAATTAGTGTCCAAGGCTGAATTTGAACTCAGGTCTTCCTGACTCCAGGTCCAGAGCTCTATTCTCTATTCCACAACATTGCCTCTAGGAAAGAAACATATGAGCTGGTATGATTCAAGAGAAAAAAGAGAACGGTCAAAGATTTGTAGATTATACAGAAGCCTCATGGCTTTATATCCTGAACCTTTCTTCAGAAAAAGTATTGGTAGGCACTAGATACGGGGAGCACCAAATAACGCCACAAAACCCCACAATTGACTATATTTTAAGAGACAGAAAATCTGTTATTATTGACAGGGATGGTAGTCCCTGAGTAAGCTGACTGTGTACAGTCAGACCATTAACTCCTTCGAGTTCATATCAGAATTTGTAGCAAACAAAACACAAGGAGAAAGAATAATAATGAGACACATGAACTCAAGCATCTCCTGAATCCACCACGCTCATCACTCCACCAGTTGCCTCTCTTACTAACTCCCACATTATTTACTTTACAGGGTTAATACCCAGATCCTCCCAACTCTCAGCTCAGCATTCGTTCCTTCCCATTACCTCTCTGACAAGCTGTTTGACCTGTAAATGGGAAAGTTAGATTAGGTGATTTGAAAAGTCCCTTCCAGATTCACAAGAAAAATAATCCACTTCCTCTGCTAGTTGTCACCTGTTTGAACAAGTCATATAACTTCTCTATTTTTTAGTTTTCCCATCTGGGTTATCACTAAAAGTTCCCCAAAGACATAGATTCCCATGAAATCCAACCTCCATAAAACCCAAATAGAAAAAGAGATAATATGTTCAGTTGCAACTTGCTCAAACCCTTGCCTCCTGATTCATAGGATTATAGATCATAGAATGAGAGTGAGAAAGGACCTTAGTAGTCATTTAAGCCATGAGCACAGGTAGTTAGGTGGCATGGTGGATAGAGTGCTGGGCCTGGAGTCAGGAAGTCTCACCTTCATGAGTTCAAATCTGGTCTCAGACACTAACTAGTCGTGGGACCCTGGGAAAGTCACTTCATTCTGTTTGCCTCAGTTTCTTCATCTGGAAAATAAGCTGGAGAAAAAAATGGCAGACCATGCCTGTATCTTTGCCAATAAAACTCTCAGTGGGATCACCAAGAGTTGGAAACAACTGATCAGTAACAACAAAGCCACGAGCTCATGCTTATTTTTATAAATGGCCGAAAATTTCACTGTTGGACCGAGAGATGTGTCACTAAATTCTGATTGGATTTGTTAACTTCCGGCTGAAATGACTGACTCATTTTGGAAGGGGCAAAAAATCTCCATTGCACACTTGTAGATTGGCATCAGCTCCAACTTGAATGTAAACTGGTCACAATATATGCAAGGCCACATTCATACACAGGTAGGCATGGATCATAGTTTGGGTGTGCCAGTCTCCCAGACCACATTCCATGCATGCCTATGATACCATACCATGTACTCCATACCATAAATACTAGTCCAAACTATACAATTTGAAACATATTTATTAAGCACTTCTGTGTAGAATACTTTTCTTCCTGAGAGAAATAAAAATATTCATCCCCAACGTGGTTTATCTCTTCAAGGAACTTCTAATCTAGTAGGGAATTTATAATATGGCTTTTTCTGTATAACTCCTGTACTTAACTCAGTACCTGGCACATAATAAGTACCTAATATATTCTTACTGATAAATATCAAAAGAAAATCTTATTAAAAGTAAAGAAAGGTTAAGGAAATTATAAGGCTTCCAAATCTCACAAGGCCCCAAATTTAGTGTCCCCCTCTACCCACACACATTCAGGATCAATGAGAATTTGCTCATATGGGCACCATACACTAAGTCCTCTCTTTCTTGATCTCTTCTGAGCCCTTGATGTTCCTTGCTGACATTCTCCTCTATTTCACTGGAATACTCTAGGTATCTTTTTATTGCTGCACTGGGAGAAGACCACTGCTCTCAAAGAACCCATGATGTGAAAGAAAGCTGAATTTAGCATCATGGTACATGCATTAGAATCCTACGCCTGCCATTTACTATCAGAGTGGCCTTAGTCAACCTGTCTTGGACTCAGTTTCTCACCTATGAAATGATGGGTTTGGACCTCTAAAATCCCTTCCTATGCATCAAATGGTATAGCATCTAAATTTTTAAAGTTAAATGATTTTTAGGAGGACATAGATAATAAAAATATACTAGTGGGGGACCTCAACTTTCCCTTCTCAGAATTAGATAAATCTAACCAAAAAATTAACAAGAAGTTAAAAGTTAAGGAGGTGAATATAATTCCAGAAAAGTTGAATATGATAGCTCTCTGGAGAAAGTTAAATAGGAATAGAAAGGAAAATACCTTTTTCTCAGCAGTACGCGGCACCTACACAAAAAATAACTATATATTAGGGCATAAAAATCTCAAAACCAAATGCAGAAAGGCAGAAATATTAAATGCATTCTTTTCATATCATAATGCAATAAAATCACATTCAATAAAGGGCAGTGGAAAGATCAAAATTTAATTGGAAACTAAATAATTTAATTCTAAAGAATAAGTGTGTCAGAGAACATATTATAGAAACAATCAATAATTTCTTTTTTTTCCTTTAGGCAATTGGGATTAAGTGACTTGCCCAGGGTCACACAGCTAGTAAGTGTCAGGTCTGAGGTCAGATTTGAACTTAGGTCCTCCTGACTTTGGGCTGCTGCTCTATCCACTGTGCCACCTAGCTGCCCCTATTAATAATTTCTTAAAGAGAATGACAACAATAAGACAACATACCAAAATTTATGGGATGCAGCCAAAAGCAGTACTTAGGGGAAATTTTGTATCTCTAAATGCTCACATCAATAAAACAGAAAAAGGGCAGATTAATTAATTGGGCATACAACTAAAATACATAGAAAAAGAATAAATTTAAAATACCAATTAAACACCAAATTAGAAATTCTGAAAATCAAAGGAGAGATTAATAAAATTTAAAGTAAGAAAACCATTGAACTAATAAATAAAACTAGGAGCTGGTATTATGAAAAAACTCAATAAAATAAATAAACCATTGGTTAATTTGATTTAAAATGAAAAGAAAGAAAGAAGAAAATCAAATTACCAGCATCAAAATGAAAGGGATGAATTCACCACCAATGAAGAGAAAATTAAAATAATTATTAGGAGCTATTTTGCCCAATTATATGTCAACAAATCTGACAATCTAAATGAAATGAATAGTTACAAAAATATAAATTGCCCAGATTAACAGAAGAAGAAATAGAATACTTAAATAATACAATCTTAGGGGGGAAAATTGAACAAACCATCAATGTGCTCCCTAAGAAAAAATCCCCGGGGCCAGATGGATTCACAAGCAAATTCTACTAAACATTTAATGAACAATTAATTCCAATATTATATAAACTATCTGGAAAAAAAGGCAAAGAAGGAGGGCTACCAAATTTCTTTTATGACACAAATATGATATTGATACATAAATTAGGAAGAATGAAAACAGAAAAAGAAAACTATAGACCAATTTCCCTAATGAATATTGGTACAAAAATTTTAAATAAAACACTAGCAAGGAGATTGCAACAATATATTACAAGGATCATACACTATAACCAGGTGGGATTTATTCTAGGAGCACTGAGCTAGCCCAATATTAGGAAACCTATCAGCATAATGGACCATATCAATAACAAAACCAACAAACATCACACGATTCTTGGAATAGATGTGGAAAAAGCCTTTGACAAAATACAATACCCATTCCTATGAAAAACACTAAAAAGCATAGGTATAAAGGGAGCTTACCTTAAAATGGTAAGTAATATTTATCTAAAACAATCAACAAGCATTATCTGTAATGGGTATAAGCTAGAAGTCTTCCCAATACAATCGGGATGAAGCAAGGCTGACCATTATAACCACTATTATTCAATATTGTACTAGAAATGCTAGCTATAATCAATAAGAGAAGAAAAAGAAATTGAAGGAATTAGAATAGGCAATGAAGAAACAAAACTGTCACTCTTAATAGATGATGTGGTGGCATACTTAGAGAATCCCAGAGAATCAGCTGAAAAACTAGTTGAAACAATAACTTTAGCAAAGTTGCAGGATATAAAATACATTCTCACAAATCATCAGCATTTCTATATACTACCAACAAAACCCAGTAACAATAGGTAGAAAGAGAAATTCCACTCAAAATAACTGCAGAATAGAAGACAATTCTGAAGGACTTATGATGAAAAATGCTATCCATCTCCAGAGAAAGAACTAAGGAGTCTGAATGCAGATTGGAGAATACTTTCTCTTTACTTTCTTTATTTTTCTTGAGGTATTGTTTTTTTGGTCTGTGTTTTCTTTTACTAACTTTTAACTAACATGGAAATATGTTTTGCATAACTGTACGTGCATAATCTATATCAATCTATATCAAATTGCTTGCCTTCTCAATGGGGGTAAGAGGGGACAGAAGGAGGAAGATAATTTGGAAATTTTAGAAAAACAAACATTAAAAATTATTATTACATGTAATTGGGGAAAAATAAAATATTAAATCATCAGAAAAAATAAACTAATTGTGAAGTTTAGCTTACCATACAAAAAGTAAACACATTAGTAAGAGCATGTGATCCACAATTTCAAGTAGATTTGGACCCATAAAACACCTGGAACCTGGAGTAGCTATTCTAGGGGTTCCATATGTGAAAAAGAAGTACCTTAATTAATTACCTTAATTAAAGTACTTTAATATGGTAATTAAGCCTATTCTTTACAAATGTAATTTTCAATAAAAATATTATAGATTACAACTTGTACATTTGTAATTTACCTTGCATTAATAAGTCATGTATTTTATAAATAATTTTGGACAATGAAAGTACTTGCCCCCCCAAAATGATATTATTTCAAGAAAAATAAAATAAAATACCTGCAGATGACATAAAATACTTGGGAGTCTACCTGCCAAGACAAGCCCAGGAACTATATGAACACAATTACAAAACATTTTTCATAGAAATAAAGTCAGATCTAAACAACTGAAAATATATTAATTGCTCATGGGTGGGTTGAGCCAGTATGATAAAAATGACAATTCTACCTAAATCAATCTACTTATTCAGTGCTATACCAATCAAACTACTAAAAATTATTTTATAGAGCTAGAAAAAATAATAAAATTCATCTGGAAAAGCAAAAAGGTCAAGAATATCAAGAGAATCAATGGAAAAAAACGTGAAGGAAGGTAGCCTAGCCATACCAGATCTCAAATTGTATTAAAAAGCAATGATTATCAAAACAATCTGGCACTAGCTAAGAAATAGAGTAGCAGCTCAGTGGGATGGATGCGGTACACAAGACACAGTAGTAAATGACTATAGTAATCCATTGTTTGATAAACCCAAAGACTCCTGCTTCTGGGATAAGAACTTGACAAAATAAATAAGAATTTGACAAAAACTGCTGGGAAAACTGGAAAACAGTATGGCAGAAACTAGGTATAGACCAACATCTTACACTGTATACCCAGGTAAGATCAAAATGGATACATGATTTACACATAAAGAGTGATACCACAAGCAAATTAGAAGAGCATGGAATAGCTTACCTGTCATATCTATGGATAAGGTGAAAATTTAGGACCAAACAACATATAGAGATCATTACAAAATATAAAATGGATAATTTTGATTATATAAAATTAAAAAGGTTTTGCACAAACAAAACCAATGCAACCAAAATTAGAAGGAAAGCAGAAAACAGGAAAAATTTTTGCTTATTGTAAGTATATCTGATAAAGACCTCATTTCTCAAATATGTAGAAAATTGAGTGAAATTAATAAGGATACCAGTCATTCCCCAACTGCAAATGGTCAAAGGATATGAACAGACAGTTTTCAGACAAAGAAATAAAAGCTATCTATAGTCATATGAAAAAATGCTCTAAATTACTATTGATTAGAGAAATGCAAATTAAAACAACTTTGAGGTACTACCTTACACATATCAGATTGGCTAATATACAAAAAAGGAAAATATTGGATATCAGAAAACTACACACTAATGTACTTTTGGTGCAGTTGTAACACTGATCTAACCATTCTGGAGAGCAACTTGAACTCTGCCCAAAAGAGCTATAAAACTGTACATATCCTTTGATCTACCAATATTTTCTTTATGTATGTACCCTAAAAAGATAAAAGGAAAGGGCAGGAAAACTATTTGTACAAAAATATTTATAGCAGTTCTTTAAATGATGGCTAAGAATTGGAAATTGAGGAGATGCCCATCAACTGGGGAATAGCTGAGCAAATGGTGGTATATGACTCTAATGGAATATTACTGTGCTATAAGAAATGACAAGAAAAACCTAGAAAGACTTACAAAAACTGATACAAAGTGAAGTGAGCAGAACTAGAAGAACATTGTACATAGTAACAGGAACACTGTACAATGAACAGCTGTGAATGGCTTAACTATTCTCAGCAATATACAAGATAACCCCAAAAGAGCTCATGATGAAAAATGCTATCTGCCTCTAGAGAAAGAACTGATGTCTGAATACAGACTAAAACATACTTTCTTTCTCTTTCTTTTTTCTTTCTTTCTTCCTTCTTGTTTTGTTTATCTTCTTGCACAAAATGACTAATATGGAAATGTTTTACATGATTTCACATGTATAACCTGTATTAGATTACTTACCATCTCAGGGAAGGGCGAGGGAAAGGAGAGAGGGATAGAATTTGGAACTCAAAACTTTAAAAATGAATGTTAAAAATGGTTTTTTACATATAATTGGGAAAAAAATAAAATATCATTTAAAAAATAAAGTCCCTTCCTAGTAGAAAGAATCTAAACATTGATCTGTTTTATGTGGGGCGGGGGTGGGGGAGTTAGGGGAAGGATGAAGAAATGATAAAGTGTTAGAGCTTCCCTTTAGAATTTTTAGAATTTAGGGAATTAGCACTGTAGTACCAAACTTATGTTTCCACTTTTGATGTAGTTAAAATAATAATTATTTTCTTCTCCAATTGTTTCCACAGGAATCCTCTTTTAGTGCTTGGAGGTGACCTTGGGTTTTCGAAAACTGTGTACCTTACTCGCCCCCACATACTCTCTAATCTGATGGCACTGGCTTCCTTGCTGTTCCTAGCACAAAATGCTCCATGTCCTGACTGAGTATTTTCACTGGCTGTCCCCCTTGCCTACAATTCTCTTCCTCCTCATCTCTATTTCCTGGCTTCCCTGGCTTTCTTCAAGTCCCAGCTAAAATCTTAACATCTGCAAGAAGCCTTTCCCAGTCCCCTTTAAGGCTAGTGCTTTCCCTCTGTCGATTATCTCTAATTTATTCTGTTCTTATCTTGTTTGCAGGATCTCTCCCCATTAGATTGTGAGCTCCTTAAGATCTGGGACTTCTTAGCACAATGTTGATTAACTGCCTGCCAGAACACTGGCTTTGGCAGGTGTTACCAAGCTAGAAATAACTTTAGGATGAGGTCATTAATGAATGGCATGTATATACTCTTTGAGCACCAATTTAGCTAAGCATGGAGAGACTCATCACCAGAAGGATGACCAGAAACGATGATTATTTTGTGTGTCCACAGCAATTTACAAAGACTATCTACTAAGGCAGGGAAGGGTTTCAGTCTACAAAATTACTGGAAAGAGTATCCACACTGGGAAAGAAGATTTATATTAATATACTTTTATTTAATTAAAAATGCATATGAAGCAGGGGTGTATCTGATTACGTCTCCCCATGCAGCATTTATGCATTTGGAGAAGGCCCTAGAATTCTATTTCCTAGTCAGGATGTGTCTGCATGTTGGACAACTACATCATAAGGCAAAAACTGTGGGGTGGAGACTTCTGAGAAGAGGAATCTGAATAGTGATTATTATGAGCACACAGTACAGGAATGGGACAACAGCTGGCCTGACTGCTAGTTATAAAGAATAAGCCAAGAGAGGCTAAAAGAGAACAGGGACCTTCTTGCAGTTACTGGGATGCTGCAAGAGGGTGTCTATGCGTGTGTGTGTGTGCGTGCGCTCACGCATGCACCTGCTAGCACACAAATGGTGAGTGTTGAGGGTGGAGGGAGTTCAGGTATTCCATGCGGAAAATTTCCTCCTGCCCTCTAGTTTGGCCATACAAAAGGCAGTGTGTCATAGTGACTAGAGAACTGGCCTAGAAGCTAGGAAGACCTCAAGATTAGGCCACTCTCAGACTTCGAGATGCAGAGAAAGTGTCAGCCTGCATTCATCAAGAGAGCTGCCTCATCCTAGATTTTCCTCTACCGATAAAATCACAGGTTGGGTTCCTAACCCTACCCTGCACACTGCAGCAAGAGCTCAGCGGAAACTGTTTTTGACACTGTTCAAACATATATGAAACCTTAATCCTGGGAGCAGTCTGTGGAAATTGCTTTCTCTATTCCTTTGATAATTCTTTTAGTTCCAATTAATATTTCATTTTTAAAATATATGCTTCATGACTGCTCTGCTTGGTGCGAATGGAATGCTGATGATCCTTGTGGCTCCTAGTTGAGATGAGGGAAGGTTCAAGCTAAAGACGGTATACTTTTCATCACATATTGACCTCAGTTGTATGTGTCAATCTATATATACATACATCTATTTCATTATAACAATAATAACAATATCAATAGATAACATTTATATAACACTATGTGCTAGGCACTGTTCTAAACACTTTGTAATTATTATTTTTTTGATCCTCACAACAACCCTAGCAAGTAGATACTATTATTATCCTCATTTTACATTCAAAGAAACTGAGGCAGAGGTTAAGTGACTTGCCCAGGGCCACACAGCTAATCCATGTTTGAAATGGGATTTGAACTTAGTCTTCCTGACTCCAGTCATTTACAAATGTTGTTGTTGTTTAAGTCATTCTCCTGGTTCTATTCACTTCACTTCGCATGAGTACATACAAGTCTTCCTAGGTTTTTCTGAATCCATTCTTTTTGTTACTTCTTAAGGCAGAGAAACATTCTGAAGAATTGGATGTCAGTATTCTCATGGGATAATGTGAGTGTCAACATTATATTTTAAACCATGGTCCAGAAAATCCAAATCAACATTTTCAATGCTATTTTTTGAAAATAATGTTTTATTTCCCTCCAATCACACATAAAAACAATTTTTAACATTTGGGTTTTTTTAAGTTTTGAGTTCTAAATTCTATCCCTCCCTCCCTCCCTCCCATTCTTCCTCCCTGAGATGGTAAGCAATCTGATATAGGTTATATATGCCCTATCATGTTAAACATTTCCATATTAGTCATTTTGTGTGAGAAAACTCAAAACAAAAAAGGGAAAGAGAGCAAAAGAAAGAGAAAAAGAAAAAAGAAAGAAAAAGAAAGGAAGGCAGGAGGGAAGGAAGAAAGGAAGGAAGAAAGGAGGGAAGGAAGAAAGAAAGGAAAGAGAAAATAGCATGTTTCAATCTGTATTCAGATGGCATCAGTTCTTTCTCTGGAGGCAGCTGGTATTTTTCATCATGAGTCCTTTGGGGTTGTCTTGGATCATGGTATTGCTGAGAGTAGCTAAGTCACCGTTCATCATACAACATTGCTGTTATTGTGTACAATGTTCTCCTGGTTCTGCTCACTTCACTTTGTATCAATTCATGTAAGTCAGTATCTTCTTAACCAGATATTCCCTAACCAGAGAAGAGTATCATGGTTGAAACTGTGCCACAGGAAGATCATTTTGCCAATCGTGTGGAGTATAGATTAGATAGGGGAGAAGGTGGAAGCAGGAAGGCTAATCAGCAGGCCATCATAGTAGAGGACAAAGGCTTCAACTAGGGTCTAGTCTTCTGCATGGAGAGAACAGGAATAATGCAAGAGCTGTTCTAGAAGTAAGATCAAAACATCTTGGTGACTGCAGGTGGTGAGAGATAAGGAAGTGTCAAGAGTGTCTTCAAGGTTATTTACTTGGAGGACAAGGAAGATGGTGATACCCTCAAAAGAAATAGGGAAGTTTTGAGAATGGGATGGTTTGGAGGTAAAGATAATCAGTACTATCTTGGACATGCTGAGTTTTAGTCGAAAGGCTATATAGTTGGAGATTCCAGTAGGAAATTGATGATGAAAAATTGTAGTTCAGAGAAGACATTAGGACTGGAGTTATTTGCATAGAGATAAAAATTGAACCGTTAGGAATTATGTGACCTTTAGGGTCGCCTCTAGGTTTAGATCCTATGATAAATCCTATAAAATCAGGGCTATGTCTCTCAGTGATGATTAAAGCAAGAATAACCTTGAAATTGTCCTTGCAATTCTCCTAGGTCAGCTTAAGGGGAAGAGCATATGTTTAAAGTAGCAATAATTCATATTTACATAGTGCTTCAGTGTATACAAAGGGCCTCTCCTTCTTATATTTCTTATTCCAAAAAGCCTCTAACGTAAAATTTGGAAAGTTTGAGATATCCAATTTAAATCAAGCTATCAGAAGTCATCTGATCTTGAGAACTCTACTATTCAAATGACACAGAACACCTGGATTTCTGTTCTAGGACTGTCATTTCAGAGGTATTTAACAATGAAGGCTGTTTAGCCTCTTCAAACCTTAGTTTTTTACTATGTAAAAATAAAAATAATTACAACTGTACTACCCACTTCCCAAGGCTATTGAAAAGAAAGTGCTTTTGGTAAGCCCTAAAGAGCTATATAAAAATATGATTTACCATTAGTGTTATTATAAAGTGCTACCCTCAGTAAAATGCCTTAGGCATTTTAAGAGATGTACCAAATGTAAATTATGCTGAATATAAATAATAACAACAACAATAATAATAGTAACCTGTAATGATTCTTATCTAAAGGACTGGAAGGATGAAAGTAATCTGATAAATAGCACTTCAAATATTTTTTCTTAACTAATCACTGTGACTGGGCTAGATCTAACAGGTCTTCACATTCCTGTTGTCTATGATTCATTCTGATATTTCACAATTTCCCCCAGAAGGTGCCAATAACCTAGACTTGTTACTGGGGCCTTTGTATCTAGGGCATCCATTTTGTGAAGTTAACAGTGTTCAGCACTTTCAATTCCTAGTTTTTACCTGGAAAGAAACACACTCTTGTGCACTGATTCTTATATTTGTCTGGAGGCCCAGCACTTAACTCCTTTGTTTGAGTCATGGAATTAGAGGTAGAAGAAGGGACGTTAGAACACACGATGTCAGAAATGGAAGGAATCTTAGAACATGGAATGTCAGAGCTAGTTCAACAGTTCTTCAAGAGTGGTCAATGCACCCTGGGAGTACCTGAGACTCTTTTAGGGGGTACACAAGATCAAAACCACTCTTGTAATGATACTAAGGCATTATCTGACTATTAAAAGACTCCTCCCTTTGCCAACTACATATCTGCGTGAGACCAGATTTTCTTCATATACTACAACCAAAGACAACATATCACAACAGATTGAATGCAGAAGCAGATATAAGAAACCAGCTGTCTTCTAATAAGCCAGATATTAAAGAGATTTGCAAAAATACATAAACCAATGCCACTCCTTTTATTAAATTTGTTTTGAAAAATATAGTTTTTTCATTAAAATATGTTAACACATAATGAGTTTACTGTTGTTTTAAATTAATTGGTTGTTGTTGTTCAGTCTTACCCAACTCTTCATTATCCCATTTGGGGTTTTCTGACAAAGATACAGGAGTGGTTTGCCATTTTCTTCTCCAGCTCATTTTACAGATGAAGAAACTGAGGCAAGCAGGCTTAAGTGAGTTGTCCAGAGTCACACAGCTAGGAAGTATCTGAGGCCAGATTTGAAATCTTCCAGACTCCAGGTTTGGTACTCTATCCACCGCTCCACCTAGCTGCTCCTTTAAATGAATGCATGGATGGATGGATGAATAAATAAATATTTAAAATTTTTATCAGTTTTCATTTCAAATATGGAAAATATTAATAAATATAACCCACATTTTAAAAAAGCTTATTAGGGTCCTCAAATAATGTTTAAGAGTATAAAGGGGTCATGAGACCAAAAAAATTTGAGAAATACTGATCTCATCCAACACATGAGTTTTGTAAGAGAGGAAATTGAAGCCCAGAGTGGAGAAGGGATTTGTCCCAGCATTCACAGTTAATAAGTGGCAGACTGAGAGAAAAACACAGGTCTTCTTATTCCTAGTCCAGTGCATTATCTGTAATACCATGCTGTTGTATATTTAGAAACAATTTAGATGGTTTCCAAAGTTCTTTATTTCCTGAATTCTATGATTCTATGTTCATATGTTTCTCTTTTCTAAAAAATGTTATTGTACATACATATATATGTAAATACATACAGGCATATATATACACACATGTAATTAAAGTGAGTTAAAATGAAATTTGCCTGGAGGAATTTGAAAACTTTCTGGATATCCCTTGAAATAAATGGAAAAACCAGGAGAAAGGAATAGAAACTGGGGCCAAGAATTAAGGCCTAATGATTAAAACAGGTTTTACATGCCTTGAAATTTATGAGTAACTGTTGGATTTCTAGCAATGTCCTTGGCATAACACAATTTCACACAGAACCTGTAGAATCAGTCCCACAAATGTAGAAGCACCAACACATACATAAACACAGAGGTATGAAAGGCGGGAGATAGCAGGGAGAATGTTGACAGGGAGGACCAGAGACACCTCATACCCAAACAAGAACATTTTTAGGACCCAGATGCTTTATACAATAAAGGGAGACTAAGTGCAGCCAGGTGGCACAGTGGATAAAGCGCCAGGTCTGAAGTTAAGAAGACTCATTTTCCTGAGTTCAAATCTGGCCTCAGACACTTACTAGCTGTATGACCCCAGGCAAGTCACTTAACCCTCTTTGCCTCAGTTCATTATCTGTAAAATGAGCTGGAGAAAGATCTGGCAAACCGCTCCAGTATCTTTGCCAAGAAAACCTCAAAATGGAGTCATGAAGACTCAGACACAACTGAAATAACTCAACAACAAATGGAAGAAGAAGAATGGGAGAGAAATAGTGAGAATACATTCTCTCCTTGGTGGGTTTAGAGTAGTGATGATGAGTGACAGTAATGAAGGATGATTGCTTGATAGGGCCAGTCCACATGCTCTGTCTTTTACACACACACACACACACACACACACACACACACACACACACACACGTACACAGAGACAGAGAGAGAGACACAGAGAGACAGAGAGAGACAGAGAGAGAAGAGAGAGAGAGACAGAGAGAGAAGAGAGCGTGAAAGGGGTGTAAAGGTATAAAGAGAGTGGAGGAAAACCACAGTTCTCATACTCTTTCCCCTCAAAAAGCCCAGAATATTTCCTTCTGATTTTCTCTTATTGAAGGAGGGAAAAAATGATGTCACCACTAAATTAAAAGGTCTTAAAGGGCTAGGACTGGTTTGTGTTTTTTTTTTTGTTCTCTCGTGTCTGATTCTTCATGACCCATGGACCATAGCATGGGGTTTTCTTGGCAAAGACACTGGAATGGTTTGCCATTTCCTTCTCTGGTGGATTAAGGCAAGCATAAATGACTTTCCCAAAGTCACATAGCTAGTAAGTGTCTGAGGTCAGATTTGAACTCAGGTCTTCCTGACTTAATGCCCGATGCTCTATCTACCCCATCACCTAGCAGAGGTTGCCAAACTTATTTGGCCTATCACCCCCTTTTTAAAAAAATTACTCAGTGCCCCCTTGAAAATCTACTTTCTTTAACCCTGTAATGTTTTTTTAAAAAATTTGTATCATTTCAAAAAAGTATACTTTTTTTAAAAAAATGACATCTTAAATTTAACAATTTATTGTAAATTTGTAGTTTTTTCCTGCATTGAAATTTTGATGATGCAATATTGCATCACGTAACTATATAGTATTGTATTGTGTGATAATTAATATTGATAGACTTAACCCTTCTCAGCAATACAAGGATCTAAGACATCTCCAAAGGCCTCATGATGGAAAATGCTACCTACATCCAAAGAAAGAACTATGGAGTTTGAATGCAGATCGAAGCATACAATTTGCTATTTTTTTCTTCTGTTGAGTTTTGTTTCCTCTTTCTAGTGGTTCCTCCTTTTGGTTCTAATTCTTACTTACAACATCACTAATGTGAAAATATGTTTAATAGGAATGTATATGTATAGCCTATATCAGATTGCATGCTGTCTTGAGGAAGGAGGTGGAGAGGGAGGGGGAGAAAAATTTGAAACTCAAAAGCTTATGAAGGTGATTGTTGATAAATCAAAATAAATTAATTTTAAAAATGATGCATCTTAAATTTAATAATTTATTGTAAATGTAGTTTTTCCGGCATTGAAATTTTGATGATGCAATATTGTATCATATAACCATGTAGTACTATATTGTAAACAAGTCATTTCATGCACATATTCCTGCTGATGCATGCTAGATTTCCCAGCAATGTGCAACACACCTGCCTGCCAACACTTGCTTGTTAAGTCTTGTTGGCAGATTTGACCACTGATGGGTTATAACTTGATTTTGTATGTTTATTTGGAAAATAATGTAATCACTATGACTTTAACTCTCTTACACAACAGATGAACATATACGCATGTTTTTTCAAAATTTTCTTCTCTTCTTTTCTTATGCTTCCACCAACCCCTTATTTTTATTCAATGCCCCCAATTGCACCCAAGGCTTGTACTGCCCTTCTGGATTGTTCCAGAGCCTCCAAGGGGGCAGTATCACCCACTTTGGGAACCTATGACTGGCTGCTTGCCATTTCTTAGTCTTCCTTCTATTCCCATAGAATTTGCCATATTGCCTTGCAACAAATATTTATGGAATGATTTCCCCAAATTCTTCCATGCAAGGTCTAACTTTATTCAAATATATGTTTCCAGAAGGTTTATTAATAAGCTATAAAAACATCTTGTTTCCTGTCTCTGTTCTCTTTGCATTCCAGTCATATCATTTCCAGATAACTCTTTCTAGGTCTCACATCTAATCACATTACTCTGCTGCCTACAAAATCCCTTAGCCTTGAGGCAAAACCTCTCCATTGCTTAATCCAATAGTCTAGTACTAAAAGCTACTTGGGGCAGCTAGGCAGTGCCATACTGCATAGAGCACTGGGCCTGGAGTTAGGAAGGCTCCTCCCTGAGTTCAAATACAGTCCCAGACACTTACTAGCTGTCTGACTCTGGGCAAATCACTTATTCCTGTTTGCCTCAGTTTCCTCATCTGTAAAATGAGCTGGAAAAGAAAATGGCAAACCACTCCAACATCTTTGCCAAGAAAACTCCAAATGGGATCATAAAGGGTGAGACATAGCTGAACAACATGTACAAAGCTCCAAACTCCCTCTCTAATTAGATTTTATTCTATTATCTGCTTACACCTCCTTACTACTCTTTGCATAACTCTGCTTTCCTGCCTCTCCCTTCACACCTATGCCCTCTTGTACCTGGAAGGTCCCCTATTTTAGTAATATTCCTGTAACTTCTGTCCTTGCTTTACCCAATGAAAAGGATACTACTGTTGTCTATGGGATCAGGAATGAATCGTTCGTGTATGCATGTACTTGTAAATCCCACTCCGCCTTTCCTTCAAGGTGGTCCAGACTCTGTTTTTTCTATGAAGACTTCCCTGATTCCCTTCCTGCACTCCAACAAGTAGAAGTGATAGCTTCTTCTGATCCCATCTCACATATGATTTGCTTGTGCACTTACCATATTCAAATGAATGTTATTTTCATGTATGCACATCCTATTGCACCAGACTATGACAGCCATAAGGGCAGACACCATCTCTTACTTTTCCTTGCATCTTTCTCATCACTAAGCATATATATCATACATAGTAGGTACTTAATAAAATGTTTCTGAGTAAGTGAATGAATGAACGTTTATCAATTTTGCTATCACATGGTAAGGATTCTGTAAAGGATTGAAAAAGGACTCCCAGGGCCAGGAATTACATGTACCCCTCAGCCCCTCATAATTTTCTGTGTGGGTATTAAATACCTTTTTTAGGTAAGCCTGAGCACACTCTCCCCAGGGACCTTGTATATGCAAGAGGAGAGTGAGCCCCCATTTCAGGAATGGGTTTGCAATTTTTGCTTTACCCAATGAAGTGGATACCATTGCTTTCTATGGGCTCAGATGAGAATCTTACATGTATACATTAA